TGGCACTGTGTTTAAGAGGTTGAGTAGTTCTGTAATGCTGTCGCGATGCTTTTTCTGTATTGGGATCACAAGAGGATCAGAAGGTACTGCCCATAGCTGGTGAGGATGGAAAACCCAAGGATGGAGTGCCTTGAACAGTTCTGGACTCGTCATTACTGTGCTTCGTTAGTAAGGTGGTTGTGGTACCTGTGGTTGCTCAGGCATATCTGTCTCTCCTTGCAGTCGTGTCAGGTGCTACATAGAAATTTAGTGCCAACGCTAACAAAGCAATATTGGCACAGTGTGTGCTGCCATTCAGACTAGGTCAGTTTGAAAGAAGTAGCTCAGGTGCAGATAACTCATATTAGCACTGCAATGAAGCCCGCTCTTACTGACCGATAACGACAGAGAGGAAGGAGAATGGGAAACATCAACAGCTTAGATCTCACAACTCTCCCATGCCCATGTATCTGACCAGTCTTCTTAAGTAAAAGTTGTTGCTGCCATCAGTTTATCCTCTTGTGTTTGATCACATCTTGTTTTGTGTCCTTTCTCTTGTGTTCTTCTTATGCAATCTGCCCCTTTTATTTGTAGGGCTTTTCTGCTGGGAAAGAAAGACACAGGAAGGTGCAAATATTGGCAAGGTTCTGTATCAGAAGCTTAGTAATATGCTTTAACTGTGTTGTTTATACAGTTTGGGAAGAACTGGGATCTCTTCTATGCAGCATCCAGGTTTACTGACTGCCTACTATAAGGCATGTACACTTACACTGGGCTAGGTGCTCTGCAGTAGTTCTTGGTGCACATGAGCTTAGGAAAACAATTCTCATTTAAATGTACAGTTTAGTTTGTGGATTATAGTGTGTTTAAACTGGTATTTGAGTAATTGTCTTGAAATTAACATATCTGTAATTTGATCTTAGTTTCCTTTACTTTGTGTAGCATGAGAAATAGCTTTTTTTGAGTTCTTGGTGTGTCTTTGGGTATTACGTAATATAGAGCTGCCTGACGACACTTATCAAACATGTTACAATTATTAAATGGGATGTATTTTGTACATATAAAAATGTTCATAGTCCTTAAGCTACCTGGTATTGTTGAGTGTTTGTAAAGCTCACCTGTTTTGAAGACTTGCACCCTGAGGCTGTGCTATATAGTTTCTTTTAATCTGGCGTAGATCTGTTTCTCCGAAACTGTTAGTTTTTTATTCGTTTCTCTCTGGTTCTTTCTATTCTTTTGTTGATGATAGTATTTGTGTCTGTGCTTGGTCACCCAGATCAAGGATCTGAACTGGCCGAAAACTAAGCTTGCGTGTTGTGGTGGTGGTTTATCAGTTGTTCAGTTTTGTTATTACAGTGTGTATTGTAGGTGTGGTTTGTGTGTGTGTTGGAGGGCAGGGTTTTTTTTGCCCCAGAGTAGAGTGTAGTATATAATGTCTCACTTAAGTCTAAGACCACGACACTTCCAAAATGGGCAGTCCTGTCTTCTTCCTGTGGCAAGCACTCCTGTTCCCTCCCTTATATTGGCATTATTGGTCATGCGGCTGTGATGTGAGTTGGACCTACCTTTGCTCTGAGTCAAAGCAGTGCAGTGCTGGTTTCCAGTAGGATCAACAAGTGTGATTACTATTGCTGATGCAAGGGAAGGAAAGCATATCTGGATGCGGTGGCTGGTAACTAAGAGAGTAGCTGCTTGGTTTTAGATCACCTTCGACCAAGTATGAAACTGCCTTCTGAGTTTTAGCTGGTTTAGAGTTGATGCAGCTGTATGGTAGCCTTGCATGCTAGGAATGGCAAGCACAAGGAGATGCGGAGCTACCCTGTGGCAGTAGCCCCGCTACGTGGGAGGTTGGAAGTGTCTATGTAACTGTCAGCTCAGGGATAAGCTTGCTGAACCTGCTCGCCTCTTCCAAAGTGCCAAAACTAACATTTCTATAGGCTATATATTATTATGTTTCCATATCCAATAACAATATAAACTATATATTTATTTATTAACATGGGTATCTTGGGCAAGATGGATTTAATGACCGCTTGCTGTGGATTATACCTGAGTCTTTGTGTTTGCTGAGGTACAAACATCTTGATTAGGCCTTTTGCTCTTATTTTCAAAGTGACTGTTACTGAATTTAGGCTGTCCTGAAATACTTTAACACAAAATAAGCAAAAAGAATTCAAGTGTGTTTTACAAGCAGTAACTTATTTAAGCATTTCCTTCAAATTGATTTTTATAATGATTTTGATATTGTAGTTGTACCTACATCAGTACGGAAAATACACTTGATCTGTTTCTGAAATGGAAATGATTTTGTGGGATGGCTCTGAAATTGGGTTTGTTTTTGGTTTTTTGGGGTTTTTTTTGAATTCTTGTTACAATTTCTGTGGTGGGAAGCACTTCAAAAATTGAGAAAACTAAGCAAAATGAGTAAGTGTTAATGACATATGCTTCTATTTCTGTTGCATAGCATGATGGAAATGGCAGTTTTTACATTACTTTCACAAGAAAATTAGATGTTCCTACTTGCATCACAATCCTAAAAGCTATGGGTTTTATGCATATGAATAATTTTCACAGGTGTCTGGTAAATAGCAGATAGAGAGTCCTGCGTGAGTGAGATACTGAGCTATACTGCTTTGTGGCAGCTAGCTTCCAAGGTGATGCAACTGACTTTTAAGATGTTGAAATTAAGAAGTGCTTATAATTTTACCAGGGAGGGGAGGAGAATCTTTAGGGATGTTTATAGCTGAACATTTTTAAACATGGGATTTTTTTTTTTAACCACCCACTGATACTCAAGATTCCTGTTTCCTATTTGTACTCCAGGTGATTTCCACAAGACTTAGGACTGTAAGCCTGCTTTGCTCTCCTGTATTAGAAGCGAGGCTGTGCTGTTCTGTTAGCTTTGGTTTCAAGAAGAATATTATCCTGTTTTGTTGTCCTCCTCCTCCTTTTGGCCTTGTAAGAAAAAGCCTGAAAATAGCCAATTTAAAATTAAGACAAGGCTCGTGTTGTTTTTTAAGGAAGTACTTCAAAGAATGGAAAGAATTGGAAAAAAAGAGAATTAGTTCTAACTACTAAAGGCAATGTGTTTTCTTAGAAATGGCATACGTAAAGTTACTCATTCTTCCTTTTCCCTAACTCCCTCTATATCATTATTCCACCTGTGCTTGATTGAGGGGCACCCTCTAATATTCCTTTTGTCACTCATTCTCTGTAGCTTGTATCTTATTTCTTCTTTCTGCTGTACATCAGTGAATGACCCCATTTCCACATACGATATGGGATGCATAAATGACTTAACATTAATAAACATTAAGTCTCTGTTGAACGAGGGGACTTGCACACACAGAAACTGCGACCTGCATGCTTTCTGTTTGTGTTACCAATCATTAGCCTACCTGAAGCTCAGGCTTAAAATGTTGATGTGTCAGAAAAGCTAATGCTGGATCTGCTGGTGAACTTGCCTGTGCCTGATAAATTTGGACTGTACAAGCTTAAATAGACCCACACTAAAATGAGGAGTTTGGCCTCAAACTGCTCCTGGGTGTGTACTTGATTTAATTTGGGTGAATGATAGGTGAGCTGACTTGAGTGCAAACTCAGGTCTTGTTTGACTGGGTATGTACAAAAATATGGAGACAAAAATCTCTATTGAGTTGTATGAATGGAGTTTCTAGCAAGGAAAGTTCTTAACTTTTTATTTTTCCAGCTTGATGAGGAGGTGCTGGAAGCATTGTGGCCTGCGTGTAGGGTGTACTGTGTGTCCCCAGCTGACTTGGAAGAAACTTTTTTTTTTTTCCTTCTACGTATAGCTAGAACTTCCCTTGCTGTCTGAAGATGCATTAGAATTATAGGAGGATGTTAAAGGATAAAATTGCAGATTGGAACTCCATTGATTTTTGTGTAAAAGCTTGTCTCTCTTGAGTTAATTCTTAGTAGATGCCACTGACTGTACCTATAGATGGATGCTTTTACTGTAGAAGTACTTCTTTGCAGCCTTTATAAATACCACTGAAAAAGCATTGATCAGATAAAGAAGTGCTTTCATACAGGAATAGACGTGTGCACATGGCATTTATAAGGAATAGCTGTTTCTGTTTAAATTTGTGTTCTTCCTTGCATTTGAAAATTGATTTGTATCAGATAAATTTTTTGTTCTTGCTTTCTTTGGCCAAAGAAGCACAAAATTGAGAATAACTGACACAGGATGTGAAAGTTGTGGCCTGCAGACTTGCAAAGTATATGAGATATAGACACAGATACCTCTTGTAGTTTTAGTTGAATGTTAGGAGTCTAATGTGGTGGCAGAGGATAAGAAATTCGTGGTTTTGTCTATGCAGTAGTTGTGGGCATATTTGCTTTTCAACCGGTCTGTGCTATGGACAGTTAAAAGGTTGATACAGCAATACATGTATGTGATATATCTTACAAATAGTCATGTCTGGCAGAGAGGGCTAGGCTAGGCAGTACAGTGTGGACGCTTTCTTCACACAGCTGGATTTCAGAGGCTTGCTCTAAAGGTCAAGGATTCTATTTATGAAAGTAGCTAATGATGTCATTAGTGCTGCTGATTACTGCAGTAGCATGTACGTTCTGAGGAAAGAGTAGGCTCAGTGGTACGTCATGAAGAGAGCCTGCCTTCAGGAAAATATTTCTTAAACGCTTTCATATTTCAGAAGTGCTGGAAGTACTGCATTAAATGTGTGTTCAAACTAGACTGATGTAGGTTCTCTGACCTGGTTTCTCAACCTGTGGTCCCTGTGTACACGGGTTATAGTTGGAAACCGGGAAGGCATGCAGTCCTGGCTAGTTAGGGCAAAGACACACAAGTGTGAACAGATGGTGTAACTCCTCTTTATATTTATAAAATTAGGGTAATATGAAGTTGTCATGTCAACAAATACTGTAAGGGTGAGTTAATTAAGCTTGATCACTGCAAGGGTGTTAGCATGACCTATAATACAGCTGTAAGATGTGGTTATGCTCAAGTCCTGTTACCGATCTTTATTTTCTTTAAGGTGTGTTTTGACTGCGGAGCAAAGAACCCTAGCTGGGCAAGCATAACATATGGAGTTTTTCTCTGTATTGATTGTTCAGGGACCCATCGATCACTTGGTGTTCATTTGAGTTTCATTCGGTAAGTAGTTTGTATATTTTTATAGTAAAATGGCATCTTTTAATGTTTTTGTTTGTTTGTTCAGATACCTGCTCAGAGAGGAAAACCCATTCTTCTCTCAACTGCTGATTCAGACCTTTTTAATGTTTGTATTGGCTTTGATGTATCTGGTAGCTGCTTGGGAATTTGGTAAATAGATAGGGTTCAGCAGAATTTGTACCATGCACCCATTCCCATTACCTTCTTGTTGTGTTAGTAGCGCGCATTTGTTGGCAGGTCTGTTTCTACATTGGAGATGATGAAAATGAAGAACGGAGTAAGCATGTTGAAGTGTTTTATCATTCCTCCACATCAAGACTGAGGCAAATATTAGTTTATTATCTTCAACAGTGTTACAGTGTATTGATCATAAAGCTAATCTGACCCCCAGCAAAGCTAGTTCAGGCAGCTAAGTAGCGTTTTGCCAGTTTTGCTTCCTGAAGCAGTTCATGATGGTGTTACCTGACTGCTAGTACTGGGGTGCTGTGAAGGGCTACCCGTTTTGGCAGCTGTTTAGCTCAGTCAATCAGTTGGTGCAGTAAATCTGCACCCTGACCTTGTCACATTTCAGGTGAGTATCCTAACTGATGGCCTGTGGGCCTTTTTGGCCTAATAAATAATTACATATTTCAAATGGAGGGTTCTGCTTGAGGTGAGTGAGAGCAATGTGTCCAAGAGTGGATTGCAAATAAAAGCAGCCATTTTCCATCAACTAAAATTCTTCCTCTGCTGCCTTTTCGCGCATTACAAGAGGCCTCTAAAGAATCTGTTCCTAATGATCACAGTATTAATTCTCCTTATACTCACTGAGCTCCAAATTTTTGTTGTGATATGACACGCAAATTGTCACTTTGTCCATTACATGTGATTGTCATCTGCTGTTGACAGAGTTAAAATGTGATTCCTGAAAATGTATCTTACTGGTGCTTTTTAAAAGGGAAAACCTGTCAGCTAGAGGGTGCATTTTTTTCAAGCTTTTACAGTTTGAAAAACTGTGGCAGTTCTACATGGCTTTATTAATTTGTTTTGCACATAATGTATTGTCACAGATTTTTTTTTTCTATAGATGCCTGTTTTTCACATTACAAAAAAAAGGGGGGGGAGAGAAACACTTTACAAAAAAAAAAAAGGGAAGAGAAATTTTAAATGGCTTTGAAGATAACATTAAAAATGTTTCCTTCTATTTAGATCTACAGAACTGGATTCAAATTGGTCTTGGTTTCAACTGAGATGCATGCAAGTTGGAGGAAATGCAAATGCTGTATGTACTCCTGAGAATTTGCTTTGCACATTGAAGCTTGTTAGGCTTGGAAGCTATTGTCTGTCCTTATCGACTCGCATGTTGGACATATTTTTATTTTTCCAGTCCATTTCTCTCTTCCTCTTGTTTTTAAGAATTCCTTTGAATGCTGATTTCATCCTCCACACTTCTTGCAACTTTTTCTACTTGGTATAATCTGGAAATGTTTTCTTTTTTCTTAAAAGTCATTAATAGAAATCACTGAAAAGGCCAGATCAGATTCCTTGTCAATACATGTCTAATGTAACAGGGAAACGTTGACAGCTGCTGAAAGATGGCTTTCTAATAGCTTGTAAACCTAGCTTATGAGTATCTTCCTGTGACTATGTTTCCTTACATGGTTTATGAAAATATCATGCCAAAAATTACACTGTCAAAAGTCACACTGAAGTCAAGATCTGACTTATACCTGAGGTACAACTGAAGTCAAGATAAGACGTGCTACACTGTCAGAGAGGGAATAGCAGTGCTTTGGTTTGGGCCACTTCATATTGGCTGTCACTTTCAACTTGATTTTTTATGTACTTATGAATAAGTTTTTTACACAATATTTTTGTAAATTGAAGTTGTGTTGACTGCTGTATTGTTCTCAATCTCCTTTTAAAAAGAGGATGTTTTCCTTTGTCAACTCCTTTGGAATCTTGCTTGGTTTTGCATGTTTTTTTCAGATTGACCATCAAGAACTGAGATTGCTTCCCTAAGTTGACCCATCCTGCAACCACCATGCAACTTCCCTAAGCAATTTCTGCTTTTCTTCTAATTCCCTGAATGCTTACCCCTTATCTTTCTTCATTTGTGCTTTGTCCTTAATGTTGTTTCTTTTAAGAAACTTCACCCAAACTTGCTTTCCATAGGCTTTTTCTTAACAATTTTCTTAGCAATCTACTTTCCTTAAGTCTAACACTTTAATATTCTGCTGGTTTTTTTTCCTGTTTCCATACAAAAAATGATTAATTCAGGATCGTTATTATTTATCTTCCACTTCTGCATTTTCCAATCAAACCTTTTTCTTTGAATAAGGCATTCCATTCAGCAGGTCACTGTCTCTGTCTTGCAGATCTAAGCAGTTGCATGGTGTCCTCTCCCTCTTTTTCTTCTGCCTGTCCTTTCTAAGTTACACCTTTCTGTCTTGAGTTTCTGTTATGCCACTTAGTACATAAAAATCACAGTTTTGGCTAATCAGAAGAGAGAGATTTTGCATGAAAAATATTTTCTTTTTTAGCCAAAGGCTTAAAAGCTTTGGTTAGACGATATAAACTTTGCTATACAAAGGGTTTAAGGCAGTTGGAAAGAAGAGACGGCAAAGTTTGAAAAGTACTTCAGTTAATCTTAGAAAGTATATTACCAGAAGAATAACAGTAAACCTTTATTATTTAATTTTATGAGTTTTTGTCTTTCTGTTTGGATGTCACTGTTTCCTATCATACATTGTACCAAGAGATGATATATACCCATAGCCACTCCTCAAATACCTCAAATTCACTAAGGCCTGTTTTGGATTGCCTAGGAAGATTAATACCTGAACCTTTAAAGACCAGTTTAGTAAAGTGTCTAGATATTTTAAAAAGTAAAATTAACATTTCTCTTCTAATTGCATTAAAAAACATTCCCTTTTTGTTTCAATTAAATGCCAAATTCTATTTTTACTAACTACTGTTTAGAAGCACTATCAGATTAACATTAATCCTTTGTATTCTGTAATTGTCTGATGATGCTGAATCTTGGCTAACAGCAGTCCTGAGCTTCGTAGCTGTGTATCAGATTGCTAGAAAATCTGAAATGTTAATTCCTTTTATTTTCAGAACAAATCTCTCTGATGATTGGAATTAGGGTTTACAAAAAAAAGCTCTGATATCAAGTTCATAGGTGTATGTAATTAAATGCAAAAATGCAGTCTTTTTGGTATCTGTGATGTTCAAGACTTTCTGTTGTAATCACTGAAGTGACTGGCATTATCTCTCTCCCACATGGTTGTTGCTTAATTTTTATATGAAGCCTGGTACTTGTATGCTAGATTTATGCTTTGCAATTGCAGCATATTAGGTCATAACCTTAGGTTATCTAGACTTGCTGATCCTATCAGAAACTTGTTTATTATTTTTTACTGTAATAGTCTGACATGTTCTTCCATGCAAGAATGTATGATATGATTTGCTAGTCAATTATAGGTACTGAGAAAATGATTTTTTTGTTGTTGTTTTTTTATCTTTCAAACACTTGTGGAACTCTGATATAAATGTATTGATTTGCTTTTGGTTTAAGATCCTAAATAAGAATAAAATTTTTCATTTATATATTTATATTTTTTATAAATACACAAGCATATAAATATATATGGGTACATATATATGTGCATACACACTTTTCTTCTGAAGGAAGACCATTTTTATACAGTCATTTTGATGCTATTGAACATACATTGTTTTCTCTAGCATGCTAGAGATGAAGCCAAGCAATGCCTTTTAGAGTATCAGGAGTGTCCTTTGAAGCACAGGTATTGGCAATCAATTTTACCTCTTCCTTTCTACACTTAATTTCAGAACTAGGATTCTTTGTATATGATGGCAAGCTTGCATTTGTATATGCTTTTAACACATCCCACTAACGTATTTGTTTTTTCTGTTGTTTTATTTATATGTAAAGAGGTTGCCAGAATGGAGTTTTCTTTTTATTTTGGAAATATACGTGGACTTCATAACTTAAAAGATTAGAACTAGGTAGAGGAGCACAGTATTTTGCTGCATTGCGATATATTTTTATGTTAAATGACGTTAGTTTTTAAACCTGTTTCTCATAGCATTTTCTGTGTTCTGCTTCATAGTCTGCTTTTTTCCATCAACATGGATGCACAACAAATGATAGCAATGCAAAGTATAACAGTCGTGGTGCTCAGCTTTACAAGGAGAAGATTAAATCTCTTGCAACACAGGCAACAAGAAAGTATGGTACTGATGTGAGTAGTGTGTGTCCTGTGTCATTCAGATTTCTGAAAAATTTTGTCTTCTTTCTCCCTAGAGTCATTTTAAGTTTCTAATTAGTAATGCAAAAGATTATCTGTCTTGGGGAGGTACTGATACACATTGCAGTGAATAGGCAAGCTGGAGAGTAAGCTACTTGTAGCTTACCTTTTTTGTTTGGAAAAATAATATTAAGACAGAGCTCAACTGGGTATTTCAGGTTCATTTCTGGGTTATTCAAAACGGTAATTTTTTAGCATTTGCAGTAACTTATAGGAGTTCTAGGGAGAAACTTCAGGTATTCTACAAAATGGAAATTTGTTTGTTTGCAGGTGTGCTCCAAAATTATATTAGTGGTATTGCATAACAAAAATGTCAGCACTTCTCCATGAACGATGTAGTGGTTTTATTTTTGCTTATCTGGAACTGAATTATTATTTAGAAGTACAGCATGTAAAAATGTAAAAGTGCTAATGGAATTAACTACAAAATATTTGTACTTTGGGATTTGATTTGAACAGGTAAATAAATGTGTGGTTTTCCTTTTTTCCCTACAAAAATAATATTGGAAAAATTGGCAGGTTTTGTATGTCCTGAACTTGTTGTTCTCCATAAAAATGCTGAAACAGTTCATGCATACTGTCAAAACATTGTTAGGTTGCTGACAGGAAGACGTTATTAGAAAAGTATGCAGAATTAGTTTGCTGAGGTGTTAAATAAGTTTGACAACAGTTCTCTTCTGCATACACAGAAAGCATGCTTTGATTGTTTAGTTCAGCTTGTTAAAGTCCGTGACTGATTCATTTGAAGTTGATCAGATGAGTGGGAATTAAAAGAAAAACAAGAAAGCTTCGGTTTTTTTCTAATCTATGCATCAAATTGCATGAAATTTAATGGATTGTAATTATTCTGTGTTATAAATGTTATAGACAGTATAGTTCACATCACTAACTTCGGAGAATATTTCTTTTGACTTACTAAACAGCTTTAGACGTAAAACATGTTCAAGTAAATATAATATACCATGTGGATTTAAGTTGAGAGTAAGTTCCCCAAATGACACTTTGAAGAACTGTGATTATCTGGCTTCAATTACAGATTCCACCCAATTGTTTGATATTAATTATGTATTTTTTATTTAAAAAAATTAATAAATATATTTCTTAATTATATACTGCAAACGTAAGTGATTATGTGCTATCTAAATTGCTGAAGTAAATTATTCAGTTAATTCGATTTAGTACCAGCCATCCCCTCCCCTGTCACATTTTAAAAAATTTCTTCTCTTAACTTACTGGTAGAGTCAGTTGTTGAATGATGAGGTAAGCTTGCTGCACATTCAGTAACCTTTTTGACAGAGGTCATTCTTTTTGGTCATGTATCTTTTGCACATAGTAGAAAGAACCATGAGAAGTTATTTGCCTGTGAGTAGCCTTGGAGTGCAGATCACAGGTTATCGTCCTGTCCTGCACGATGCTAAGAACGATCTGTGGCACTGCGGGCCCTCCAGCCTGCCCTGAGATCAGGCGTTGCTCAAAGCTGTTAGCATCTTGCAAAACTGTGCTTTAAGTGTAGCACAGGTTTTGGGAGTCTCAGACTAGGTGGGAAAATTCGTCAGAGTTCCAGGCCACACTGGTACAATTCTGACAACTGTTTCCAGTGACTGCTAGTGTTATGTTTTCAGGTTTTTTTGCTTTGGGCAAAGCAAGAATATTAGAGAGAAAATACCTTATATGAGAATATGAAAAAACTTACTTATTATAAAGGTCTAGTGATACTAAATATTGACAGTATTATTGTAGCAGAGCTTATACTGAGCATTTCGTTAGGAGGGAAATGGGTAATGTGAAGGAACACATCAAAGATGTATGAAATTAAAAAAAAAAAAAAAAAGGAATGTCATATATTGAAGCTTGAATAAATTTGTAAGGAAAATTTATGTACCAGGAAAAAAAAAATCACGGAAATTTTAACCTGGAAAAAAAAAAAGTAGTTATAAGATAAGTGCATTTGAAAAAAAATATATTAATGGCGTTATCCTGTAAAATTCTCTCGCTTTCTCTCCTAATTCTAGCTGTGGACAGATGGATGTGGAATGCCACCTGTGTCACCTCAAAACAAAGAGGAAGACTTTTTTGCATCCCATGTTTCTCTCAAGGTATAGATTACCTGTATTTAATTCTTGTTAGCTTTCTAAACACTTAGGTTAACTGTGTGCTCTGTGATGAAGATTAAACCCTGAAAGAAAACCTTATAGAGAAAGGGTAGGTCAGTGAGTTAACATTTATCTGCTTTTCCTTCTGTGGGTCTCAGAATTCTTCCTGGATGTGAACCACTTTCTAAGGTGATAATTTAGGATGACTCAGTAGCTAAATGTGGAATTAAACTGTGGGGGTTTTGTATGCATACAGTTCCACTTGGACTCATGATTCCTTGCTTGGGAGTGCTCTGATTTAAATATACTATGTGGTAACTTTGGTTTTTAATCAGTAGAGTTTAATGGTTCTTAAAACATTTGCTAAGCAGAAGCTTTTTTCTTCCTCCAGAATACTTGCATCCTCTTTGAAAATGTTAAAGTAGCTTTCTGAAGGCTATGGCTACTGTTGGTTTTCATTTTGGTTTTTGTTGTATTTGTGAGGTTTCAAAAATGGTGCATTTTAAAGGGAAATTCAGCCTTTTTGCTACTTATTTGTTTTATTTTAGGAACTTCTACTTCAGCAAGTATTTGAATGTCTTATAAAAATTAATTTCAGCATCTTTGAAACAGTGAAAGAGTATTTACATTTTACAGACAGGGAAGATTGTTGTATTACTCAGAAATGGTCATTGCCAAGACCAAAAAAATCAGTTATTGTGAATTCTAGTGTCTTCACCAGAAGATCATCTGTCCTGATAGTAGAAAAATAAATGGAATATTTCTGTTTGCAAAAGGCAACTTGGAAGAATGCTTGCAGTTGAGTGGGAAAAGCATGAGCTGAGATGTAGGGTTTAGGGTTATTCCATGCGGGGCCCGGACAACAGGACACCAATATGATGATTAAAGTCGCCAGTTTATTGAGCCTAGCTAATCATTCTTATACAATTCTCTAAGTTGCCCAGAAGCTCCGATTGGCTGCTGCATGCAAGCATTTGGTGTCCACGCACACAAACATAAAATGTGATTGGTTATATCGATACTGTCCACGCGTATAAACATAAGATACAGTTAGTTATACTGACTCTGTACACGCGCATAAACACAGGACATAATTGGCTATGTTAACTAGAGCATGCGAAACTTGTCTCAGTCCAGTTGGTCAAGATAAGCCCCTGAATTGAGGTTGTTTGTGCCAAGTTCCCTTTATCGTGGAATGTGCACCTGTGTTTTTCTAATTGGGATCTTTCTTCTTCTATCTTCTTGTTTATTCTGTTCAAGGCCTTCTAAAGGTGTCTGGAACGCTCTTGCGACCATGAGCTACTTTCAGGCCCAGTAACTAAGTTCCATATAATTGAACCCTACACTGAGACAAGCTAAAGAGAAAGAAGTTTAAGCAGAAAAGTGTTGTAAATATTTTTGTGGTTGAGGACAAGAAGTAGGAACTTGATAGAAACCCTCTTAAGAGAATGTATGGGTAGGATAAATTAAATTTTCACAGCAAACTTTTCGGGTAGCTGCAAAGGCAGGATGTTAGAGACAAGCAGTCTGGGTACCTCAGGGCAAAAGATTATTTGGGTATGGATGTTTTGAGACAGATGTCAGGAAGTTTTGAGATTGAATAAACATGAACTGACAGTGGCACAGCACTGGTGGAAAAGATAATACTAAGCTGATATTGTTGTGACCAGGTCACAAACCTGCCTGTAGGGGAGGATGTGTCTGAGGGAAGTGGGAGGACTCATGAGGAGGACTTGGGAGGACTGCTCACAATCAAAAATTAAGTGTTAGAAAATTGGAAGTGCAAGAGCTTAGTGTGGGGAGAAGGCTTGGTGATTGTATGTAAATAAATGATCCAGATTTCCTGTACTGTATTACTGTTATGAATAAAGACAATAGCCAGCATACAATAAATAAATCTAAAGTACAATTTAAATGCATATTATTTTTTGGATGGTAAACATACTGAAATTCCTGAGAGGGAAATACAGGCGCTCAGGAGCGGTTTGAAACCAGCTCTTTTTTAATAAGGGTAGGCATTTCTTGTAACTTTAATAACTGCCCTTCTGGGAACAGGTTTTAAACCTAGAAGCTGTAGTCATAAGAATCCAATATTAAGTAGCCAGTGATGCTTAGGCAATCTTTGAGCTTAGTGCTTGTATTTATTTGCTGTATTCTATTTTGTGTGCACTTTTGATTTTATAATTTTTTTCAAGGCAAAGAATACAGAGTGGGTGTTATCAGAGCCAGAGCCAGTTTCTCTACAGCAGAAAACTTCAGAAAATATTCCAGAATGCTGTGAAGGTATGACTGAATCTTTGTTAACAATAAGCTGCAGCTTTCTGGTAGTCTCTTTGTTTAGGCTCTTTATACCCTCCTTTTATAGTTAAATAACCTAACCATGCTAGTAACGCAAGAATTTTGGAGAGGATGGACTTTTTAGAAGAGTTATGCTAGAATGTGTGGGACTGCATGTTCCTTCAATAATGTTTAATAGAAATCCAAATTAAAATTTGATTCAAAAGATTTCAGATGAATTTGGGTGCCTGCTGCTCTTTTAGTAACTGGTAAAGCTGTGATAGAAATAACACATTACACTATATGTATCAAACAGTACCCTGAGTACAGTGAGTTGTGTTTTGGCATTTTAAGCATTCTAAAGAGCCTTCTGATGTTCTTACCCTTGTTATTCATTATGTTTTAGGACCAGATCATGGACCAAGTGTTGATTGCCTTGGTACATCACCAAAAGCTGCATTAGGTAATGAGTGTAAGCGGAAAAAGATAGCAGCCAGTATAGTGTGCTTAAATATTCATTTGTACAGGGAATGTATGACTGGGAAGAGATGTGGAATTCTTACTTTAGTATCAGTGTGCATGAGTTAGTTGAAACATCTGAATTTGTATTACAACTTCTGTTAAACAGTTTACTCCTTCTGAGAAATCAATTTTAGTCAGTGTTCGTCCGGGTTTATCTATCTTATTTTAGCTGACCTGATGAATTTAAATGCTACAGGTAGCACACCTAATAAAGGTGACCATTAATGTTTTACACCTCCTGTTAGACTGCTTTAAGTTCTGCATTTGAAGCACGTGGGTAGAATAGAGCATTGTGCTGTGATTAATGGCCTGTTACTTATGTTAAGCAAACACATCTTGTACTAATAGTTAGTCTTTCAATGTAGATGCAGTTTTGGCTCCCTTTTCAGAAAACTGAGCACAAAAATTTAGACTGGAAAAATCTTGTATTAGTAATACAATATCTTCAACGTCCAGAGTCTTAATTTACTTAACACTGAAGAGTGTATCATACTATAAGTAAGTAAAAAGAAGTTGAGGAAAAGAGAATAGAATAAAATACATCAGTGATTTATCATTTTGAGGATCATCCTGCAGGAGCAGGTTTCTGAAAGTAAAGAGTATTGATTCTCAGCAGCACAGGGGTGGTAAAGAAGTGGTGGCTGGGACTAACTCAGTAGTACTTCAGGAAGATATGGTCATCTTCACTGTTTTATATTCACTTGGTTGGGTCTGGTTGTGGTTTTGGGGGGTTTTTTTGAGAGCTGGAGACTACGAAAAATAGTTAACTGCGTACACTTCCTGGTTTTCTCATTTGTATCTTTAACATGTTCTCATAAAGCAAGGGCTTTTCTTGCTTGTTTTGGACATCACAAGTTGTATCTTCTATGAAGAATCTCTGTCGTGTGTATGCCTGTTTCCAACCAAATTTCAGCTCGAACCGGTTTTTCTCTATATACAAGTATTCAATAGGAGTTGTTGATTGAAAACTGCTGATTGTGGGAGATTTACCTGGGCTCAGGGTAGCTGTCAAGAAGGCACAGTACAGTGTCTTAAAGAATGTAGTGAGTCCTACTGGGGTCTCATTAAAAATATCAAGATTAGGAGTTGTGTCAGACCATGCAGAGCAGAACATAGGTTCATTTCTATGTTTCAGGATTTAATACAAAGCATTAAGACTGGAACTTTCAAACTTTATGTATAAATCTAGACTCCCAATACTGTACTTAGGCAATTGAACAAAGCTGTTCAATCTAGTGTTAGAGTATGTTGTCCCCACGGATAATGCTTGTGATTTTGTTTATGATGATACAGGTATGTTTTATCTGTATCATTGGTGGGTTTAAACATAGCCAATACCTTTCTATCCAGGAAACAATTCATCTTGGAAATGGTGTGGGATCAGGTGGACCTCTAGTCTGATTCAGAATAGCAAGGCCTGCATTCTTGGTCTGTTTACTGGCAGGTACCTACAACTGAAAACTGAGCTGTAATTTTATTCCTATTGTATTTGCAAGAGATGCCATATCCTCCAACAGAGGCAGTTTCCCACATTTTCCTGGAGATATTCACAGTTCTGTTCCCTGTAACTCATTTAGTATCTCAGTCTCTTAGTGCAGAAACTGTTAAAATAAATTCCAAAAACTATTTTGTGGCTGATATTGTGGAAATTATCTTCTGCAGTTCTGGAATTAATAAAATTGTATGTCAAGTAATGTACATTTAATAACCCTTGCAGACAACACCACCTTCATAAAAAAGAAGCCAAATCAAGCTAAGAAGGGGGTAAGTGTATATAAATAATGCATATTTTTAACTGTATTATAGATCTCTAGAAATATGTAGATTGCAATATGGAAATGTATCATGTAAGTTAGCACTAAGCAGTACTTGCATCGGTAACAATTTATGAAACTAAAATGGAATTGAAAACCATTTCTATATCAAAACATTCAGTGGTCTGTTTGAAAATGGATTACTGTTAAGATGAATTTGTCTAACAGGTTACTGTTATTATGTAGTAGAGTGCTTCAGATCTGTGGGTTGTTTTCTGATCTCAGATAAATTCTAAGTCTGTTTACATGTATATTGCTCAGTGAACTGTCTAGACTTCCACATGCATATCTGAGTGTCATTGTCTATGTGCTGTCTGGACCTGAACAGCAGGTGATATTTTTTCAAAAACGAGTAAAATAAAAATGTCAAAGCATATATTGATGTCAAGATCTGTATCCCACTTCTCTTCAGTTCTTTTCACAACCATTGTCCCTGTAACTCTGCTGGTGCCCTGTAACCTTCCTTCTCACTTGCTGATACTGGGTTGCAGGGCTTCTTGAGGCTTTCACCTGTTAGTTGGCACTGAGATCTTTTTGTAGCAAATCCTGAAAATAGAGGGAGTTCCAGCAGCACTTTTGAGTGGCTAAACGTGCATGTGGGGCGTAATCTGTCAATACAAAGTGAGTTTGAGACATTCAGACCTGTATTTCTGGAGCAGTCCTCATCTGGTACCACACAGCACTATGGTATTTGGTTGTAGTTATAGATAACTTGCAGCTGCATTCAATTCAAGATAGGTTCAAGATAGTTTACAGACTTATTTCTGGATGGGGACTTAGCACTTTCTTAGGCATCTGGTCTCTGTAAAGAAGGCATGAGGAGAGTTGAGTGTGTCAGAATGATGGTTCAAGGAACCTGAAAACTGAGTAAGACAGCTCAAGTTAACTCAAGTTAGCTAGGAAAAGCTAGGGTTTGAATGTATGGCTCTTGAGGCCCATGAAACTAGCCCTAATATTAGGCTATTAGGGTGATAATATGTTACAGAGAGTCACTTCTTTTAAGTCTGGGCTGTTGTATGGCAAAAGATTTTGAAGGTTTATTGGAGCAGATTAATTTAGATTGAAACCTATTATTTCTTGCTCCCACTAGAGGGCCCTAATACGCAAGAGGAATTTCTTACTTTAAGTGGTATATGCAGGTATGTTCCCTTACAGCAAGAACAACATAACTGGGTTCACAGATGCACATACAGTTTGTGAACAGTAGTGTCAGAGCCTAATACTGTACGTACATAGGCCAGAGCTTTTACATGAAGACTTTAAAGTATTAAAAGGTTAAGGGAAATGTGAAAATTAATATTGCTGCAGTGTTGCTGATGAGGAGTTAAACACACAGGAGACTAAGAACAGCAGTTTGAGTGCTGTGCCACCATCTGAATCAGCATCATTGCATCTATTCGTATTTGTAGTATTAAGTGTTTTCAAATCTTTGATAATCAGAATGAAAGAATATGTATCCCTGTATTGAAGTAATATGAACTAGAAATAGCATTATTTTAAAAGAACGAGTGCAAAACTGGAACCTCTCAGCTGATGTGTTTATCTAGAAAAAGTTTACAATGCTTTGTCACATGCAAAGGCTAATCATGCATATACGTATATACAAAACTTGTATATTGCTCTCCTACCATAAATCAGAAAATACCTATGTATATGTTTATTAAAAATATGAATAAATCAATATTTAATCTTAAGATAACACAGTAGCACTGGCCAATGAGAACTAAACCAAGAATCTTTGCAACTTCTAAATGTAAATTGTGAATTAAGTGAATGAGCACCAAAGGGTTCCATTGCAACAAATTTTGTTATGTTATACCTATGCAACAAAATCATTATTAAGAAACTAAAGTTGTGCTATATATTATAATATTTATTTGAACATGCCAACCTCTGAACAATTAAAACTATAATAGTTTCATTACCCTGAGATGCTTGACTGCAGAGCTAAATAAATTTGTAAGACTTAGAAGGGGCATGTAGAGGCTCAAAACATGAAAAAATATTTTCTCTGCTCCAGATTTTCATTGTCCTGAACAGTGTATAGTGTTTGCTGTTGCATTCAAAGTTGACTGTTAAGTCAGTTGAGGTGATTGTCTCAGTTATAATGTTGGGGCTTTTGTTTTTGTTTTTCAATAAATCAAGCTTGGTGCCAAAAAAGGTGGTTTGGGGGCACAAAAAGTGAGCAGCCAAAGCTTTAATGAGGTTGAAAAACAAGCACAAGCTGTAGATAAAATGAAGGAACAAGAGGATCTTCATAGCAGTAAGAAAACTGAGAAGGAAGAGCCACTGTAAGTATGAATTATATATACAATGGTAAACCATGAAGCCTAATTTCACATTAATGAAGTAATTGTCAACATTTTAAATACTACCAGAGATTAGGTCACACAAATAAAACTTCAGTTCTTGGTTTAAAAAATAACAAACAAATGTGGATGAGGTGGGCTAAACAGTAATTCTGCCATTGCCCTTTTTCTTTTGCCATTAAGTATATGTTTCTACAGTTGATGATTTACTGTAGAAATAGCCAAATGCTATCTTTAAAAATAACCTTAGTGTTATTCTTATTTAACACAGAAAATTAGGAGTCATTCTACTGATACGTGTGAATAAAAAGTGAAATAAATCTAAAATGTGTTAAATTTAAGTATTATCACAGAAGACTCTTGCCTCTTGAACTTTCTTTACCCCGTGCTAGTTACCTAGTTTATTTTCGTGTAGTGAACTGAATACTGTTTGAAACAGTCTTTCTGAGAGCATAGGGAACATACAAATACTCAGCTTTATTTGTACTTACTGGGCAATAGTTTCTATGCTGAAGGCAAGGGGGAATTTAAGTATGGCTAGAATCGTCTGCTTAAGTTTCAGCTGTTTTATACTGGAACTGCCTTCATTTTCACCAAAACCCTTTGAATATTTTTGTCTGAGGTCTCGAATCTGTTAGTCCCTCTTAATTAATAAATACTGAACCCTTAAAGCTCAGAGGGTGCTGTTCTTGGTTCCTTCCACTACATTTCTCTGCTACACGTTTTTGATTTCTAACATTTTGTTAGTTGTCATCAAAAGTAGACTATTAAAGAGTTGGTTAGTGTACACTTTTACTGTTGTAAAGTTTAACATCCTCTCTTAAGTGCTAAGATGCATCATTTTTATAACCTATTGAGAAATTTTCTGAATTATTACATAATTACAGGATCAGTTGGAGCTCACGGTACCAAGCTCTTTGGTCTGTAATCTCCTCCCTACTCCTTTTGCTCACTTTTATGTAGCCTCTGCAGAAATAGATGTTTTGCGTGCATTGAAAATATTAATCACAAGGGAATAATTCATTTTTTCTGAAGTATTTTTACCACAAAGTCATGCTTTTCAGTGCTTGCCAAAAACTACCTGTAGAGTGACTCGGAGGAATGGACTACTAAATAACAAGAAAAAATGATTGTTTATTATTATTTGTTATTATTCTTTAATGATATTATTCAGTTTGGAAGAAAGTCCTGAGTAGTGATTTGGGTTTTGTCTCAGAAATGTCTATATAGATCCAAGGCAACCTTTAGTGTAAGGTCGCTACAAGCTTTCTGCAGTGGCCAGGATCCTCTAGAAATGTCTGCAAACATGAGAGGTGCACATACACCTCAGTTTATAGATCCAGTCCCAGTAGAGGCAAGATAACTGCATTTCCCTTGAGATTAATTTTTTGGATTTTTAACTGTAGATGGCAGTATATACCAAAATTAAAGAAGGGTGAATACTTTTAAAATTGCATTTGCTTCCAACTAATTTGTGTGGCGGTTTTAATTTTAAAAGTTTGAGGAATGACCTTTAGTAAATTAATTCAGTGTGGCCTTGTTACATGGTGGGAATTGAAGCGATGCTTTTATAGTCTAGTACTTAGAGTCCTGAGGCTTAAAACTTAAAATGTGATTTTATGATTGGTACACAGTTTCTTTATTTTCTACTGTGCACTGACAAGAGAATAGGTAACTGGAGTTACTTTTAAAAAATCGATCAGTATCCCCATTTGTTTTAATCAACAGCAAATGAGATTTTCATAAAACAGATTTCATAAGTAGAAAGATTAGCAGCCTACCTTAAAGTGCTGGGTAGATTTTATCAGTAGTGGTTTCAAGTTGAATTTTGGAGAACATTTTCAATTTTCTGTGTAACAGTTGGTCCTAAACTGTAAGAGTTGATTTAAAACATCCCTGAACATACTCTGTGCTTTGAAGATGTATTCAAAAGTCATTCCACAGATGCATCCTGGTTTGTGTCTGACTTATGTTTAGATGCTTATAACAATAAAAGATGTAGTGATTTTTTTTAGTCCTGGCTCCAAGCCCTTTGAAAGCCCCAGTCAAGACCTAATCATCGCAAGACTGTGATGGCTCTCCTCCTTTTTGAAATGCCTCGTTAGCGGAGGAGTGATGTCCCGTTCCTTATAGCAGGCTGGTACTTACATCCCTTGTCTGTGAAGGAGATGACTAGATGCTGTGCCCTTTTCGTTCTAACAGGTTCAGCCACACAGCTCCTGTCTTGCAGGAGATGCACTAACCAGCAGGGTGTGAACTTTGGTAGGGGCATCTTGTACTCTTGGTTAAAGTTAAGTCAGTATGCATCGGACCAGAAAAAATCAAGCTCAGAAGAGCCTGTTAGTAATCAAATAGTTAGGAGAGACACTGGAAGAAAATACTTCTTGGTCAAAAACTTGTTGTCTTTTCATTCCTGCTTCTGCACAAAATGGATGGAAAGTTACAAGGGTTTTCAGACTTATGTACTTCCTTTCTACTTGCAGCAGGATGTCTACCAGCAGCATCCCAAATCTCATTTACCTTTCTTCTGATAGTGTTCCTTTATACTTTATGCCAGTCACAACTTATGAATTAAAATATTGCTTCATTGCTCGTTCAAATTACTATTTGTATCCTTTTTAAACTAACAAATTAAATTTAAGCAGTGTTTCTACAATTCTGTAATCAGGATTAAAAACTTCTGTCTCTGCTACACTGGTATTACTGGAAAATAGTTAAGATTGTTTTGAGGTATAGGAAGGTTCATGGCATCTCAGAAAGACAGCTTACTGTACCTAAACTGTGAGAATGTTTCAGATGAGAAGATGTGTTGCCAGCTGTGCAGGAAATGATAAGTTTTGGATGCTTCAAAGTTTCTGTAATACAGAGTATATTCCATTTTGGGAGTACAAAGACTCTCTCCTCCCCTCTTCTGAGACACCTTTTGGGGCATAGGGAAGGGCAGCATCAATGAAGCGTGGTCTGCCTCTAGCGCTTGTCTCATGAGTGGATGTCTAGCAAGTGTTAAAAGCAGTAGGAGCATGCAGGGAGTGAGGGGAGGGAGACACAGCAGGGCCAAGCTGTGCATTAGGGGAAGGCATTATTAGTGTTATATCATGAATGGCACAGTACTGTAGTATGTCAGAGTTGGATAATTTTGACAATTATTTGGTGTCACATAGAGTTAGGACTGTGGAAAAAAGACTCTTCCAGGTTGACTTAATGGTGATGCAGAACTCCGTCCTGAGCCTTAGCAGTAGCATGTTTCACATTTGTTTTGAAAAAGACTGCCTGCTCATACACAGACTGGGGTACCGTTTAGACAGGCTCCTCTCCTGGCTTTCTCCCATCCTTATAGTTGGCATTTAATCCAATTAATAATATTTTCAGTAAACACAGAACATACAAAATACAGTGCTACAATATATATTGTTAATTTTCTACCAATATTATTGGGTTGGGCTTTCAGTGTAGCATTTTACAGTTATATGTTAACTGCATGTTTTGTTCTAGTGTATCATCTTTACGGTTGGCCTACAGAGATCTTGATATTAAAACAAAAGAAGAAAAGTTAAATCTATCTGGTAAGAAGAAAAACGAATTGGAGAGACTTGGCATGGGATTTGGCAGCAACAGAAGGTATGTGAAGTTCTATAAACTGTCTTTAAAATACTCTGTGGCTTTATGCAGTTATCCTTCATTTTGCTTAGGAAATGAAAAAATACACTAAAGTATGTTGTGGAAACTTAAACAATATCATAAAAGAATCTAGTATTTGTCAGGGGGAGGAGGCAGGTTTGCTTCTGATAGATTTACGTTCTAACCTGCCAGACAGGTGTTAACCTAAATTGTAGGATGTCTGTAGGATGTTTGCCTCCATTAGCTGACTCTGAGGAAGGTAGTCAGGATGTTTTCAGTGAACACTACCAACCTAAGTATAGTCTGTCTTTTACAAGCCAAAACTCTAAAAAGTCACTACTTCAGAGAATGACAGTTGAGTTTTCCTCCAGGGCCTTTTTTTTTTTTTTTTTTTTTTTTCTTTCCTCCTTTATTCTTAAATGTTTGTATAGCTTGGGCTTTATCAGCAAGCTTCAGAAGCTAGATTTGGGCTTTCATTTCTTTTTTTTTAGGGTGTGAGCTTTGTCATCTCTTTACATACTTATTTTCTTCCTGTCCCCAGTGGCATTTCTCACTCAGTCACCTCAGATATGCAAACAATAGAGCAGGAAACACCTGCAATTGCAAAGCCGAAGAAGAAGTACACTGATGATGTAGAAGACTCGTATTTCTCTTCAAGTTCAAGGTGATGTGTAAGCTTTTTATTTTGAGTAGGGGCAGAAGTATATGCAAGTTACATATTCAAGTATACATAATATATTTGGAACTTATGAGCAAAACAGAAAACATTGGACATGTCTACACACAGGATTTTTTCAGGGGACATCTGAATCAGGAAAGTTGTGGAATAGTTGGCCTTACCTCAATGACAGATGTATTTATAAAGAAGAGTTACTTTTTCTGAGGAGAAGGTAGTCTGAATTATGGGTTTACAGGTTTTGTCTTTTTTAGGGTCTAGCCTCTACTTGCACAGACAGTTGCCATATAAGCTTTTATTTGCTGTATACCAAATCCAGTGAATTTTTGTCAGAATGACTTGTGTTTGTTCTTTTTTTTTTTTTTTTTCTTTCTTGTGGTACTGTCTTCAACTTCCAATTTAAAATTAAACAAGTATTGAAGTGTGATACTAGATATCCTACAGTTGCATGGATGCATGCCAAATGCAAAAACGTAAATCTTTTTGAGGTATTGTGTGTTGGATGTATTGTGTAGGTGTCTGCATTCTTATTTGATAGACTTTTATGTATTTGAACAGAAAATGTAAGGAAAAATTAATTGACAAATTTTTGATCAGAGTATGAATGCAGTGCAAATTATAAAATACTGCTGTTGGGAAGGAGAAAAAAATAATTAGTCCTACAGGCACTAATTGCAGTGAAACAGCTGTTTTCTGGACCAATAGATGGCAACAGGTGTTGCTTTTATAAACTGCCTTTATTGGATTGGTGCCACAGAAACATGAAAATTTGTACCTAATTACTTGTAGACAGGAAAAATAAAAACACAAAGACTTTTGTATCATTACTTTGTAGTGTAATCACTAGTGGCAGAAATGCAAATGTGGTACCAAGTGAACTGGCAGCAGTCTTGTAGAATAGAAAGTATCATTTCAGTGCTTCCCTATTTGTTCTTTAAAAAGAACTGTTACTGGTCTCAAATTATTCATAAGCCTACTAGCAGACAAAGGATAAATTATGGAAGAGGCTTTTTAATGTGTTTTGGTTCAATAATTAGAAGATAAATTGTAACCTAGCTGTTCCTGGCTCTTGTTCTTCTAGTTACAGCAATAGTAGAATCTAATTGGAGTTGGTATACAAATTCATTCTCGTTAAAGAAAGTATAAAGTCAGACTGTTGGACTTCATAAGGTTTGTAAGGTGGTTGTTCTCCTTTATTCCAAGCTGTGACTTTGAAATAGAGATAAAGTAATTTTAATATCATCTTAGTATATGCCCAAAAGCAAAGTAATCATGCTGGATATTAGAGTGCTGATAAGTATCTGTAAATTAAGCAAGCCAAATGTCTCAAGGTTCAGATATATATTTGAAGCCTCTCAAAATCCTTGGATTTTGATTTTTCTTTTTGCTACAATTAATAAAATCTTTATTAACATAACAATGTAAAATCTTATTTTCTATTGAATGCAGTTTTTCCTTTCTCCTCCCCCCACCCCCTGAATACTGAAGAAGTATTTTGCAAAGTTATGAAAATCTCTGGGGGAAGGATGGAGAAAATAAGTAATTTTTTATTAAAATCAGCTCTTGTAGCCCCTGCCCCATCCCATGGTTTTGATGGCCATTGTGAGATTGGATAGCTTCATATGTATATAAACACCTTGTTTGTTATTACACATCCATATGGAACTTACAAAGTTTGCTGTGGCTGCTTCTTGTCTGTCAGGAGGGAAGGGGAGAGACTCCTGCTTTTTGTAGAATTTCATTCCAGATCTGTCCTTGCTATTTTCTATGTGCAGTGGTGGGAAGCTTTGCTGCTGAAGGTGTCACATTTCTTATAAACTGCAAAAACAAGCGTCCTGACTAATCATAACACAAACATGGAGAAATTTTTTTTTTTTTTTTAAAGAGTGCTTTTCACAAAATACAGATGCAGACTTCAATATCCCATGCTTGTTCTACTGAATGATTCCATACTGCTAGCCTCCTGTTGTTTTGATCATCTTACTCCCTATCCTGGTCATATCCAAACTTTAGGAAAATTTATTTAACCACAAAGGGAAATTCTTAGTCTTTGGCATTTTAGTAGTGGTTTTTTCAAAGTATTTTCTATAGATGTTTAGATATGTGTAGGTAATAAAAGGGGAAAGGTCAAGATAACATACCACCGGAATTGACAAACATGCTTCTTTTTTTTTTTTTTCCTTTTCTTTCGGTTTGTGTTTTCCCTGCAGTTTTGATATGCAAGAGAAGATTGTCTTATAAAATTAAGACTCGCTTTTAAGAAATAAGTTCTTTAGCATTGTTTTAATAAAACATGTTACGAAACTCAGAGGTACTTAATACTTGTATTAAACAAAAATATATGGAACCAGAGATGAGGGCTTTCCTTCCTGTTCTGAACTGTGTTTGTTGATGCCTCAGAAAATGGGAGCAGATTCTCTGCTTGCATACCTTACAGATTGACGCATATGGAACTGTGAGATTAGCCACCATCAGCCCCTTAGTTAGAAAACTTTGCCCCACGTGGAACCACAGCACAGTTGGATGCCATGGGTTAGTTAGGTGCTTTTGGATCTCTGGAGTGTTCAAAGTGCCTCGAAAGTTGTGGTGGCTTTTTTCATAGCTGGTATCTTAGCATGGAGTGTCAAGAACGCCAGGCCTTTATGAGAAGACTACCTTGTAGAGTCATCATGGTGCCTTGCTCGCAGGGTCTATCCTGAAGTTTTCTTAGCGTTGCTCTTACACCAGCCAGATATCTTGACAATGTTCTTCCCAGTGCTTTGCCTGACACTAAAGATGTAATACTTTGAAGTAATAACAACTTTGCTGGTTTTGGTGGGACCACATCTTTCAGGCAGTCCACTGCATATTCATCACCCTGTCCAGCCTAAAGAAAGGCTGAACTTTTGAATCAGTTAAATACACATGTAAAAAAAACCCAAATCCATTGGATTCAACTGTACAAAGCGTCTAAGCAATATTATGAAATCCAGATTATTCACTGACAACTATCATTGTGCTGAAAACTTACTTGCTAGTGAACACTTATTACAGCAATATTTGCCTAACAATATAAAATTCCCACTTTTTAAATACTTTTTTTTTGCTTCTTTTATTTTAGGTACTATGATTCTTCAGATTTGAGGAGCAACACTTTCTCTAAATGGGATGACAATTCAGATTCTTTTTGGAAGAAAGAAAATAATAGTAGAGATGTTGATATAATGTTAACTTCAAAAAGTACAGGGTTTTCAGACAGGTAAATCAAGAAAACCTAACTAATTTTTGTACAGAAAGCGCAAGTTTGTAAATATGATTTGAGTCTTGGTCGTAGTAGTAGGATTTTTTTTTAGTCTAGAAGAATTTGGCCATAACTTTCATCAGCAGTCAAGGGACTTCCTGGCTGAATTTCTTTTGTAAGCTGAATTTGCTGTTTACATTTTAAGCACTTGTCTGTTTTGCTCAGTGCTGTACAGTATATGTACTGGAGGTAATTTCCAAAGCACTTCAGCAAAAAAAGAAGTAGACAAAAGTTGTGGAGAGAAACTCAAATATTTGCACTGTTCTGAAAGCATACTTGCTTTACTTGCTTTATTTATTGCCTAATGAACCAAAGAGAACCCAGTTACCAAATGAATGAAACTGTAGGGTACTCAGCTTTTAGGATGAAGGTATTGAAGATACTTGCAAACCACAGGTCTGATTGTTGCGATGATAGAAAATGAATGTACTACTTCTTTGACAGCTGTGGTTTTATCTTTGTACTCAAGTGGAAAATGTAAGAATGTGAGGTTTTGTGTGCTTGGTTGGTGTTTCCTGCTTCTGTTCTTCTTACTTAAAACTGTATTTTTCATTTACCTGTAAAATGCAGTTTGTGCACTTAAGTACAACATTTTTTTTTTAACACAAGCATATTCTGTTTTTTCCTAAAGAGTGGACCAGTGATGCATATTACACAAAATAGGGGTTCATGCCCATAACACTATTACTTCCTTATTTACATTTACTTTAAAAAAAAAGGGGGAGGGAGGAGGAGGAGCAGGTATTGAATATATATGTTTGAGGTGGAAGGCAGTGACAGTTCAAAGGGTGTCAAACCTTTTTGTGCTGTTACGTTTAAATCTGAATTTCACTGACGTGTTTTGGTTTTTTTGAAGTTTTGTAGAAATATTCTGTCCTTGTTCACATAATTTAGCTTGCTTTTTAAATGAACTCTGAAAATAAAGATACAAGATTAATGAATCTGAAATACTATATGCTCACCATCTTGTACAGTTGTCACTGAAATTTTATTTGCTGCTCTGTCAACTTAGTTATCTTTATTTTAGTTATCTTTAGTTATCTTTATCCTGGGTTGATACTGATTTAATTTTTATTAAAAAAAAAAATCACTATTCTACTTTTAGGCTTCAGAAAGCAAAGATGATAGTGCTTCTTGTTTGACTTACTGCATTCTGCCATGATGTAAATAAAAGTTATGGTCACTAATGCAGTTTATTTTTCTTTTAGGCCTGCATCTCGTCGTAAGCCTGAATATGAACCATCTTTAAACACAGATGAGGCACAAAAAAAATTTGGCAATGTAAAAGCAATTTCATCAGACATGTATTTTGGAAGACAAGATCATGCTGATGTAAGTAGAAAGCAGTGATAAATATTTTTAAATGTTAAAATATTCTTTGACTATAAGCATGGTGCTCTTGTATAAAGAGAAGGCAATAAATAGTTAATATTGATAGAATTAGTAAGCTTATAGAATTATGTCCACTTGAATATTTGTTTGTTAGAAATGTACAAGTTTCTGATAACTCTGATAGTTTAGTATTTCATTTTAAGGAGTTGCACCTGCAAGTAGGACCTTACCTCCAACATCATTCTTCTGTGATAGAAGTGGTAGACTATGATTCAGCAGTCTTTAGTTTTGAAAGACTCAGCCTGATGCTGGGTGAAGGCTTACATCATTTGTTCTAAATACCCAAACTGACGCCAACAAACTGTTGTTAAAACAGCTGTCCCCTCTGTATTTGTTACATGGAAACATTATTGCTGTTATAAGGCTAACTAAGCAGATAAATTGTTCAACAAATGACATGTAATTGAATCAGACTAGAAATAAAAAACAGATTAATATTGTGTTCCATTGTGGAGGCAAGGGGTCATTTTAAAAAATCTATTTTTAATGAAAAATAACAATGTAAAGAGTAATGTAAAAAAATACAATCGATGTATATTGTTCCCAGGGAACTCAGGAAAAAAAGTTGAATCAAAAGGATCATGTGATTAGAAGGGTTAACATGATGTTACTGCAGTGCTTTTTCCTTATCCTACCCAACCACTCTATTTCACATTTTTTAGTTGTTGTTAATGGTTGCATAGTTTTTCAGCAATTTTTGGGTAGCTAACAGTGAGTAGGCCTCTTGGTGTTGCAATGGTAAACGTCACTATTTGATCAACTCAGAAATGAGTTGAGATAATGACAAACACCATGTAGGTCATGTGAAAACTATGAAATGGGTACAACTTTCAGAACAGTCAACTTCAGCTGGATTGTATGTTTTAAAACTATCTATAATTTCATGAATTATCTGATATGACCTTGAAAGATCGCAGCATACTGTTAGAATACTTTTTGTTCTCAATTCTTTTCTAGTATGAAGCAAGGGCTCGACTAGAAAGACTTTCTGGAAGCTCATCTATAAGTTCAGCTGACTTGTTTGAAGATCAGAAAAAACAACCAACAGGTACATATTGAACAGAGTGAGAAACTTTTATCATGCGGTGAATACATTGCTTTAGTCTGCTTCTAGTTACACTGTCAGCTAGCTGGTGCTGTATGCTGCAAGAAGTGTGCAAAGTACAGTATGCATTAGTATTGCTAATAGGTCAAACAAGCCTAGCAGGTGCAGTCATTATTTAAAAAAAATTAATATCTTAAATTTCAAGTTCTGTATTTTCAGTTCAGTATGTTCAATATTTTATACTGGTTTTTTTATGTCAATTGTTGCAAATAATAGACTAACTATATTGTGAATAATTTTTATCAAAGGAAAACTGTAATATTTTGTTACAAAAATGAGATAACACCTAAATTGACTATCAGGTAGGTTTTTTGATAAGTTACGTTTAAGTGACTTGTGTATTTATATATGTGAAAATAGCTGTCTTAATAATATTGAATCTAAGAAGAGTCTTTAATAAAATGTTAGTGGCCTTGAAATTCCGATGTAATCTGTTGCATGGCATATTCATTCATCAGGATATCTGCTTCTAACACCAGTTTTGCCAAGTTATTAACAAAATTTTTCAATTGGTTTGTCTGTTTAAAAGATTTGTTGGAACATCTTACATTGGAGAGTATAGTTCATCAAATTAGAAAGAAAGAAGTATTACATTACAGTGACTGAAAAGTAGCCCCTTAGGCTATTGAAAATCTCTCACGTCTTTTTTCCAACACCCTTTTTGGATAGTGCAATAATGTGAAATAGAGAAGGTAGGAAATACTGGAACATGTTATTGACTTGGTCAGTTGGGTTTCGCTCCTTAACTTGTGAAGAAATGGAAAAAAAAGAATTATTGAAGAACTTGAAATCTGTGAGTAATTACATAAATAGGCTGGAAAATCAAACGGTATTCAGCATCTGATTTTTATTTTGGAAAAGTCGGGGGAAAAAGAAAAACAGTGACTGTTCAGTTTTGATCTCCTGAAAGCAAGTTTTGAATACACTGGCTAGTAGAGAAATAACTCCTGTTACCAGTTACTTAAGAGCTGGATTTTAGTGATTTGAAATGTAACAAAATAAAATAAAATAAAATAAAATAAATTAAGGGGGGGGGGAGAGACATAAAGCAGAAATCGCATAAGGAGGGGAGGAAATATAAAGCAGAAATTGCAGTAACTTACTTTGGCCACTTGAAAGAGTATTTGCAACACGGTGTTGTACATGTGCTTAAAAAAGAAAAAAAGGTGTGGGGAACATAAGCAAATAAACAGTGTTTCTTTCTGAGTTTGTAAACTCTTTTCAATTATGCATGGGATTGTGATAACAAATACTATTTTTTTTTATCTATTGTTGACTAGAACTTTCTTCATCCTTTTTCTTTTAATTTTCTTGCATATAGATTATTTTATATGGAATTAATCTTTCCTTTAATTTGTGTAATATGTGTGGGGCTTTTACACAGTAATGAATAAGAGAATGAACTAGGAAAAGGTAAATAAAAGTTAAAGATGGGGCAAATTGTGTGATCTGATATATATATATATGTATCTGTGTGTGTGTATATATATATGAATGTACCTTTCTATGTACACATACCTATATATGTGATAAAATTCTCACCATGTTCTGAATAAGGGTACTTACAGGCAATTATATAATGTTTACTGGGTGTACATGAATTGTGCACACATGATTATTCATCACTGACCACTTGGAAAGGTTCTTGGGTCCTGTGGGGGAATGCAGAGATTCCTAATAATGGGATGAAAAATACCTGCCTGCAGCTTGAGGTTAGTTACTCTCTGTGACTGGCACGTAACCCAACAGTAAATTTAAAGTTATATTACAAAGACTAAACTTCTTCTAAATTTTGTAGGTTGTTAACTGCTCTAAAATAATAGTGAGGAAAAAATATACCAGGAATTATTTATAATAATAATTGTGTATTATAAATTCACACTATATTCAATCTACAGAATCTTCCTTTCCTGCATGTCTTTCTGTTACACCCCCCACGCCAAAGACTTACCTTTTGACAGTGGCCCTTCCTAGAAAAATTTTACTGCAGTAATAGCTTGTCTGGTGTTGAATTAATGCCAAGGCCATCCGTTCCATAAAATAAAGGTAATCAGGAGACCGGAGGCTGGCAACAAAAATGCTGCTGTAATTCTGGGGTCCTTGCCAGAATAAAATGTCCTTTGAATCTAAAGTTGTTTTTATGACCACTGCTGAGATCTTAGGGTAGAACAGTCTTGAGATGCTTGCTTTTGTACAGAGTGCTGTAGGAGCCATTTACCAAAAATAGGGGGCTGCAAGAAAATGCTTTTACTTTGCATTATTTCAGACCAGTTGCTTGTGAAAGATGGCACGTCATACGGCTTACTTGTAGGTGCTGATTTTGAAGGAAATCACAAGAAAAGGAGTTGCTTTCCTGTCTCATTTACAAAGGTTTTTCAGACGACCATACCTAATCAGAAAAACATGAGAAAATTCATGTCACTGAGAAGTGGTTAGAGCTTTTCTCAGGTTATTTATATCTGCAAATTCTATTTCCATGACTCTGACTTTAATAACAAAAATGCTGAAGTATTTGATAAGTGGAACGGGTCATATAGAGGTCAAAATTACAGTTCAGAAATAGGTCTGCCTCAGTGGCAGTGAATTTTTGAAAATAATCTATAAACAAGTGTGCCCATGCATTGCAGAAGCAGCTACTAGCTGGCTTTAAAGAATGGAGCGGGAAGCTCTCTGAATGTGACTATGCATCTGCCATTACGAACTAGCCACTTACCGTAGGTAAATCAAATTATCTAGATTAATGTCTTTCTGAGCCTGCCTAACGAGGCAGGTGCCTTTAACTTCCCACGAAAAGAGGAGCTGCAGGTTGTCTCTCTCTTCCTTCTCCACCCCTGTTCAAAAAGAAAAAAAGGAGAAGAAGGGGCTGCCAGCGTGTAGCAATGTCCTGTTCGGAGCTGCCGGCAAAAGGAGTTGGGGTTGTGTGGGTGTGGAGTCTGTGGCCGGACAAGCTGGTCCGAGGTTCAGTAACTGCTCACAGCTTACCCGTTGTGTCCCAACTGGTCACGACTATCAGTTGGCTCTGTGTCTGAATTAAGGCTGCAGGCTGCAGTCTTCCTTTTGAAAATGGTCTGTTTTGGGATGCTTTCTCTCAGGAGGCCCATTTATTCCTGAGATCATAGTTCTGTGATGCTGGTTTACTGCCATTTATGCCTTTTACAGTATCAGATATTTAATATTAAGGTGTGCCGATAATTCTTTTTGGAAATGAGCCGGTGATTGTAATTGTTAGCATGTTAATACTTACCATGCAGTTAGTTTTGAAACATCTTTAATTTCTGTTACCTTTAGGCCTACACTTTTCATAATAGCAGCAGAGCTAGCACTGGCCGAACTACATTGGCTTTAAGGAAGGATGGATTGCCAGCTTTGTTTTGGAGTTTTAAAACTTACTTACCTTTACTATAATTTCTGTAGAATTTTCCAAGCCTCAGACGTAGTAATGCAAAATATGTGTCTATATACAGCACGCAAAGCATACCTATGCATGTACACAAATAGGGTTCAGCCACCACTGAGGTGCATTCATCTTTAAATTGCAAGGTAGTAACAGCTGTTTAGGATACAAGACAAATAACATTGCAGCAGATTGCAAGTGCAGAATAAATCATATGTTATCCAAACATTAATTGCTCAGCTGGGAATACAAAGTATAGAAGATGACACTCTGGGTGGAATTATGAACAACTGAAAAAAATTAAAAGGAAGATGCATTTAAGAAATTTGAGATCTATGCCTAGTGTTTTTTACAGTGCTGAGCAGACGTTGGTGTTTAGTGCTCCTAGTAGTATATTGTACTTCAGCGGGAAAAAAAAGGCTGCTTTTAATAAAAAATTGTTTTCTTCTTGTGTGTGTGTTCCCCTTTTAGGAAGCTACAATATTACAAATGTCTTGCCTTCAGCTCCTGATATAGCTCAGTTTAAACAAGGAGTGAAATCAGTGGCTGGAAAACTTTCTGTACTTGCTAATGGGGTCATGACATCTATACAGGTTAGTAAAAATATTACAATATATTAACCATCAGTTGGAATTCTTTTTGTAGGGATTTAGTGTCATGGATCTTGCCACTGAATCATCTTTAGGGAGAACAGAATTAATTTGGTTTTGAGCTTTGTAGACTTCTCATGGTAGACAGTAGATCTTTATCTGTTTAAAACCAAATCTGTAGCTGATAGCTCACCTTCCTTAGAATATACTTTTTGCCTTTTTCCTTATATAGCTTATTTCTTTTCTTACGATTGAAACAGAAATTCCATCATGGAAGTTACTTGCTGTCACTTTATTTTAAAGTATTAATAGTTCATAACTCGGAATAGAATAGTTACAGTTAGAAGGGACCTACAGCAATCATCTAACTCTGTTGGCTCTTTAAATGACTTGACAGTAATACCTTTGATCCATGTTTGTGCACAAAATTAAGACATACTTGTTTCAATAGTATAAAGCATGCTTCATGCTCCAGTTAGTTTGCATTTCCTATATGAGGTCAGTGGAAGCTCTTGGGTGTTTGAAAATCAGGCCAATTATCCTGGAGTTTATAGTTAAACTCCAGTTCTTGGAAGCGCTGATCAGGTTTTTTTTAAGTCTTTAAGAATTAAACTGCTATTTATTTTACAAATGTAGGTAAAAGTAATTTCTTTCAATGGAAAACATACTCATGTCTGTCTGGTGTTTTTACTTTTTTAGGATCGATATGGTTCGTAACATCTTTTGTATCGACATAATTAAGTAAACTAAAGAAGGATTTCTCTTCAGATATACAAGTAATCACACTGCTGATTCAAATGAAGGTTGCCTTAAGACTGTTGATGTTTTTATTTGTTCCAGCATATTTGTTCCCTTGTGCAGCTTTCTGGCAAAGCCTCTTACTGCTATTTCATCTTTACAGAGCAGAAATCTTGTAGCAACTTGTTACATTGCATATGCTTTTTTTTTTTTCCCCTCCTTAACAGTCCTGTATTTTTTAGTAACCTTAATGTTAGATGTTGGGAGCTTTATTTTATTACTGGTTTTGACTGTGAGGCAGGAAAGAGAAAGAAGGATGAACACATATATTGGAAATGAGGCTTCCCGATAGAAATCTCAGTGCAGTTGCATCCTTACTTGCCAGGCATAGTTTGTCTTCTGACTGTCTTATGAGCTGTGGAGAAGAAAATGTAAATTAAGCATATGCTGAGGTGGTATTTAGTGGACTGTAACAAAATATAGAATTAAGTTATACCTGTGCTTATCAGGAAATAGAACCTCTTGCAGTCATAAATTGATGTGCATTATTAAAACTATGGGGAATTAGTGTTTTAAAACAATATTCCTGCTAGAAAATTGTATGCTTAGCTGTGAGGTATGGGGAAGACAAGACACGTGGTATATTGAATAGTGGATTTCATCTTGTCATGGGAACAATCTATTTATTCCTAGTTTTGAAAGTTACAAAAAATTGCAATATAGAATCCTTAAGTGCTTTTTAAAAATCTGTATTGTGTACAAATTGAAAAAAATTTAAAATATATATAGGGCCTAATAGAGTAGTTAATTAAGTATTTGTTAAAAACATTTAGAACAATCTTAGTTTTTTGATAAATTATGAAATATTGAATGAGTAAATAGTGGGGCTGTGTTTTAGACAGTCTAGAATTTCTTGCTGATGACATCCTGACCTTAAAGAAAAAACCTCACAACCAAGAATGAGCTCAAGCTATTTCCGTTCTGTAACTTTATTTCTTAATGCAAATTTGTAAACTGCTGATATCTAATAAAAAAAATTGATACAAACTCATTTTTTAATTAAATTTCTGTGTGCAGACACCAGTCTCCAGCTTTCTAAATACTGCCATCTGTATTCTATCTATACAATAGTCCGGTAAAATTAGCCTTTCATTTCAATTAGTGAAACTACCTTTCTTATTAAATTGCTATAGTGACTTAGAAATCAAAACCCTAAGGCTGGACTAGAAAATAAGCTACTGTATTGAAATACTGTGTTGAAATACAGTTAACAGTATAGCTGTATTTGTTTTTTAATTTCTAGCTGCCTCTTATATCTAACTCTTCGTTCTGGTAGCTTTCTCTTGTGGCTGTTGTGTTTAGATTTATTAATCCAAAAATGATTTTTATTTTTTTTTTAAGACTAGCACAAGATAAGCATTTATTCTGCTTAACTGTAGAGCTTTACAATAAAAGATTTGCTTTGTTTTCTCCTTGCCCCCTTTTTCAATTAGAGATAATTTTGCTAATATAACAAGAAAATGTGCTGGTCAGGGCTTGCTTTGGTTTCCCTAATTACATGTAGATTCTTAGTTTTCAAACTACTCTTTCTGTTAAGTGTACACTCAGTAGTAAATTTATTACAAGTAGTAATAGTAATAATAATAGGTGCTAGTAATCCGATGATGGATTTAACAGCAGTTTTTATTGGTGCATGTCCCTTTCCTGCTCCTGGGCTATGCTTTATCACCCTCTTTCCCTGCCCTCCTGTTCAAGCTTCAAAGAAGCTGGGTAAGAAAAATCAAACGGAGAGGCAACACAGCTTCAGGGATGGGTTTGGTTCGGGTGCTTTGACCATTGGGGTGAGCAAGTTTTTCGGAACCATGTAGTCACAGTGGAAGGTCGTGAACTGAGGGGGCAACTGCTGGAGTGGGCTTTCCCAGCCAGGCAAAACGAAGTCGTGGCTACGTTCAGTGAGAGTTTTCCCAAGATTTTGGAAGTCGACCCTTCACGAAGAGAATGAAGGTGATCACAGCAACCTGGCTTCAGCCCCAGGGGAATGCTCATCAAGGCTGGGTTTTTCTTAGGGGAAAGATCTCTTCCTCTCTTCCCCAGTTTGGCTGAATTGAGAAAGAAACGATTCCCTTTTTTCTGATTCTGATTAACACAAAATTGTCTTAATTTTAAAAATAAGCTGATGTTTGTCTCCATAGTTTTTGCTGTCTGAAACCCTTTGCTAAATTCAGTGAGGAGAAAATGAGACCACTGACACCCCCCCAGCTATTTTAGCTTCTTTACAAATGGAGGACAGCTTTGCTCTGAGCTGTATTCTAAAGGTGCTCCACAGACCTGCCTGGCAGCTGTTATGGACATGGAGACAAAATGCTGCTATCATGTCTGAGGGAAGTTTTCTGATGCCCCAACCTGCTGGGTCTGCCCTTTATTAGGCCTGGCTAAACTGTGGGTACTCAAGCAGCAACATCCAGTTGTCCAGCGGACCTAAGGAAACCTGCAGGTTGCTGTCCTGCTTCTATAAATGCAACTGGAAATAGGATTTCTCTGCACCGAGAGAAGTCTCTCCTGAGACATGATGAGAGCTCCAGTTCATCCCTGAAGACCATTGCTGGGTAAGCACCACCGCCATTATCTGGTTTGTGAAGGCCAGATGAAGAACTTATACAGGCCATCATAGTGTTCCCAAACCCTCAAATGCTTTCAACTGACCTTGAAATGTGAAGGAAACCTGTGATTATGGATGTGAAGGGGCAGAATTAAAGCCCATAACAATGATAAAGTGAACCCAAACATCCTGCTCTTGGGGGAAAAAAAAAAATAATCTGTGCCTATGAGTTTATACTGAAAATGCTGCTCTTCTGCAAAATAAGTCATATCCAAAAAGAAAATGTAGGGGAAGAAAAGAGGGTTTGGGTACCTCTGGGTAGAATAATGTTGAAATGATTTTTTTTTTCTTGTTGTTGAATGGAAGGCCTTAAATCCTTCAGACTCACCTTGGCAGTTTCTGAGTGGAGGCAGAGATGTGTGTCACATACTGCTGGGGGTGGGAGGGCTGCTTGTTCGGGGGAGTGAAGGGCCACCATGCACAAGATGGTTCTGCTTTGCATGGCCTCCAGAGTTTGGGGGTGGTGGAGTCAAGTTTGGTTTTATTCTTGCAGCCATGAAGTTTATTAAAAGGTTTTCACGAATCTTTCAGCTTAGATAATCTTGCCTGTGTTTGCTTATGTTGTAGCTTAGAGGTATGAACTGCTGTAGTCATTTTAAGTGCTAAGTCAATTGCCATAATAATGATTTAAATCATAGCATTATTACCTACGTGTATCCAACCTCATTAAAAAATTAAAGGCAGTTTTCTGTTACAAAGTTATTCAGTGGTTATTTTCTGAAATTCACTGTGTGGTATAAAGGTGTTAAAGCCTTACAAAGCTGTTGGCCCCGAGTCTGGCAAATGGGTCAAGTCTTACTTCATGTTCCTGAAGTAGGACTTGAGGTTAAAAATTTGTTAAAAACATCAACTATGGTAATTTATGAAAACCACAAAATGAAACCAGTCTGCTCTGATGAACAAATGAGTTGAAAAACAAAGGAAACAAAATACATGAACAGCATTCAAATAACTAGGACATTTCTTTTGCTTTATGACTTGTGAGACATTATCAATGAAATTGGGGAAAATTGATTTAAAATACATAAAAGCAAATGTTGATTGTTCCCCCCCGGCAAAGGTGCACCTTATTTGTGTCTTTCATCCTACTGGCATTTCTACCAAATGAACGCCAAGCAGTTCAGCTGGCCAAGACGGGGCAATACTTGATTAAAAGGCGTGCGTGATCGCTTGTCCGGACTCTGGCATCCCACTTTTGCTTAGTGAACGTCTCATCCTCTTGTGCAATTTTTTTCCTGCCCGAGGGACTTCTCTGTCACCGCGTGGCATTGCCAGCATCTGCCTCGTGTTCCTTCCCTGGGAGGGGAGTGAGTTTTGTGAAGCCTCTCTTGTTTTACTGAGGTTTTTGACAGCTGCTTGTTTTCTAAATGGAAGTGCTGGCAAGGGACGGCCGTGGCGGGAGGGGGCTGCACTGCCGCGGGTGCCCGGGGTCCCAGGCTGCCCGGGGTCCCAGGCTGCCAGGGCCGGAGGGAAGAAAACCGCTCCTGGAAGGATGCGCCTCGTTCGCCCTGCGCCTGGCTGGGGTGATGCTGGGGTGTCTGTCATGGAGCTCCCCAGAGGAGCTTCCAGCTGGGTGCCAGGTGATGGGAGGACCTCAGAGGTAAGGACAACAGACTTTGTGCTCTGACAGTCGTTCGCAGCCTTTCTGGCAGCTCTCGCCCAGCCACCCCGGGCTTGTGTCCTCCCGCCTCCCTGTCCTGGGCTTTCTGTCACAGCAAGAAGACAGACCGTGACTGGAAGCCGAGGACAGGGCATCAAGGCAGGGAAGGACCGACGGCTCACCGTCTTGGCCTGAGAAACACAGAAGATGGGGGCTCGAGAGCCTCTGGGCCTGAACCAGTTTCTGCCAGAAGCTGCCGGAGGGATGACCGAGCGGAGAGCCGGGAGCTGCGCAGATGGGCAGAAACGAGCAGCGGGCATCGGCCCGCCAAACTGGACCCTCCCCAGCAGAAGCAGAAGGTCCAGAAACAGCGTCACGGGCAAAAACCAGCTTCCACAAACTTCCCTGCTCATCCTCTTCACTTTACAAGCTCTTTATCCTTCCTAAAGCAACAGTATTAACTATGTCCTGTGTCTCTCAGAAATTTTGCCTTCTCTGTCGTGTTTGCTCATGTCGCCTTCTCCTCCCACGTCTTTTTTCTGCCTAGAGCTATCTGTGCTCATCTCTCAGCAATCATTTTTTCCAGTTAGGCGACACGCTAGCTTTTGTAGCTTCTGACCTCCTGTTCTCAGCACTTCTACCCCTCGTCCTTTTCTGTTTCGTTTCTTTCCCCTCAAGTGATTTGCCTTGCAGCTATTTTTAATGTTATGAAGCCAACCCTTTAAGGCACTGTTTGTACTTACAGTGGTTTGATTCCTCCCGTTCTTTAATGACACTAATAGCACTTAGTGATGCCAGTTTCAGTTCTGTGCTCAATTTCTCTTCATTTCCCGAGACCTAATAGACGAGTGCAAAATTTCTTCACGGAAACTGTCATCTACAAGTTTTCACAAACCCCACGGCTGTTTCCACAGTGGCAACGGGAGGCGTCCAGCGCATACTAGTCACAGTGGCTTCCCCCCCTCCTCCCCGTTC